TAGATGGAAAAATTGAGAAGTTTAGCCGTCTGTATCAGCTAAATACATTCCTACTCAATGAGTGTTCACGCAGAGGACTTGGCTTCATTGAAAACTTTAATCTGTTCTGGAATAGGCACGAGCTTTTTGAAGAAAAAGGTCCACATCTGAACAACTACGGAGTAAAAGTGTTGATGGATAACTTTGCATCTGCCCTAAGGCCTCAGCCTGCGCAGCGCGTGCAGCCGTCGAAAGGGAGAAAGAAGAAGCAAAGGGCACAGACATCACGACCATCTCCACCGACTCCCGAGGTCTCTGCACCCCCACCGCCTCAAAAGAACTCCACACCTTCACGATTCAAGAAGAACTCAACACCTCCAAGGTTCCAAAAGAACTCAACACCTCCACGGCTCCGAAAGAGCTCAACGCCTCCACCCCCAGCATCATCAGCAGCTGCCACATCTTCATCAGCGCCATCAGCATATACAGCACCACCAGCAGCAGTGGATACAGCAGCAGCAGTGGCTGCTCCATCATCTTCAGCAGCAGCAGTGGCTGCTCCGTCATCTTCAGAAGCACCTTCCCCACCTACAGCCCCCGTGAAGCTTCCCCCATTGCTCCAGGCTACAGACAGACCTGTACTGGGGGTTCCTCAACCACCTCTGTCTCCACCAAAGACTCCCTCATCACCTTCCATGGACCCGGCTTGGGTCCCCCCCGCTACATCCACTCCATCTAGGGAAAATGAGGACGACCTTTCCCTTTCCCGTTTTCTATCCCCGCCTTCACTACTGGATTTACCGGAACACTCGGCAGGCATGATAAGATCGGCGATGAAGACTATTCCTCTCACACCCACTGTAGCCAGATCAAGAGTCCTATCTAACATTCAAAACTACTCCCCATACGTACCTCCAAAGCCACCTAGGGCGTCCAACTCAAATTCTCCCACAAAATCCACCCGTCCCTCCTCTAACCCCATAAGTATTCCACCCCCCCCCTCCTGCTCATTTAGCCCACCTCCCCCCTAACTCAGCACCAAGAAACCCTCCACCTCCACTCCCCCTCGTCCACCACCCAACTCAGCCTGCCCCTCCCCTAACCCATCACCAAAAACCCATCCACCTTCAACCCCCCCCCCCCCCCCCGTCCAACTCCCAAGAACCACTCGCCTCTCCATCCTCTTCCCCCGCCTTCCCCTTCCCCTCTTTTCTCTAAACACTAGGATGCACAGGGTCTCTGCTTTGCAGCCACTGGCAGTCTAGTTAGAGGAGAAACCCGGCTGGGGCCCTGTCATGAAGCCACCTGTGCCATTCCCTTAGTGATAACACAAAGAATACATAACAGAAAAACATCTGAAGTTAATCAGTCTAATCAGGAAAATCTAATTCTTGTTCCGTGTAAGAATCAGCCGACCACAACCGCTGATCCTGAAACTTTGAAACTTGCTATGCTAAATGTCAGATCTCTTTGTAACAAGTCTTTTTTAATCAATAATTTTATTTGTTCTTATAATCTAGATCTTATGTTCATGGCTGAAACATGGCTTGACCAAAATACAGAAAATGCAGTTTTAATAGAAGCATCACCACCAAATTTCAAATTTGAATCTGAAATACGGGAAAACAAAAAAGGAGGAGGCTTAGCTGCCATTTTCAGAGACCACTTTGTCTCCCATAGAATGTCTCTTGGGAAGTTTCCGTCTTTTGAATATGTGTCTCTTAAAATACAACAAAAACAATCTCCTCCAATACTTTTTGTTGTCCTATACAAGCCACCGCAGTCATGTCACAGTTTTATTGATAATTTTACAGAGTTGCTTTCAGTTGTATGCACAAATTTTGATAGTTTAGTTATTACAGGTGATTTTAATATTCATGTGGATAATGTTAATGACAGAAATGCTAAAGAGCTGAGTTCTGTTCTTGAATCTTTTGGTCTCACTCAGCATGTGAGTGGCCCCACCCACAGCAGAGGGCACACTCTAGACCTGTTAGTTACAAAGGGGGTGAACATTTCTAATGTAAACGTGGTCGATGTTGCGCTTTCGGATCATTTTTGTATATTTTTTGACATGTGTTTCACTAACAAACCAGTGGACTCTGCAACTGTACGAAGAAGACACATAAATGAAAATACGGGTGAACTATTTATGGGAATGATAAACTTTGAGAATGCATCGTATTCTACTGTAGATGAACTGTTTAACTCTGTCACCTCTAGTGTTTTGAAAGTTCTGGACACCATCGCTCCTGTGAAGGTTAAAATAGTGAAAAATAAGCAGAAGGCGCCGTGGGCTAAAGCAGACTCGGTCAGGGCACAAAAGAGAGAATGCCGGAGGGCCGAGCGGAAGTGGCGCAAGTCCAACCTCCAGTTTGATTACAAGATCTTCAAAGATAAGTTGTGCGAGTTTAACCAGGTGCTACGTAGTACGAGAGAAAGGTATTTTTCTGAAATGATTGAAGGCTGCAGCAACAATCTGCGTGTTCTGTTTTCAACAGTTAATAGATTAACAAACCCCCCTGTTCAAATGCCATTAGAGCTAACTTCCAAACGTAAATGCAATAAGTTTGCACATTTTTTCAATGACAAGGTTCAAGGCATCAAAAACGCCATTGTCTCCAATCCACAGATAACAATCCAACAGCCAGAAAGGCTCTCTGAGCTAACTCACTTTGCACCTGTAAATGATAAAACTGTCCAAGAGATAATCTCCAGTTTGAGCTCCTCCACATGCAGCCTGGATGTACTACCCACTAGATTTCTAAAGTCTGTTCTGAGCAGTCTGTTACCTTCACTCGCACAGATAGTAAACATGTCCCTTAATTCTGGAATATTCCCAAGGGCCCTGAAAACTGCAGTCATCAGGCCCCTGCTAAAAAAGAGCAGTCTGGATGCTACGGTACTTAACAACTATCGTCCCATCTCAAATCTGCCATTTATGGGGAAAGTCCTTGAAAAAGTTGTCTACCAACAGCTAAATAGATTTCTTATAATCAACAACTCATTTGATATGTTTCAGTCCGGCTTTAGACCCCACCACAGCACTGAGACTGCTCTCGTCAAGGTTACAAATGATATCCGGCTGAACACTGACGCAGGCAAAGTCTCAATCTTAATCTTGTTAGATCTAAGTGCTGCCTTTGACACCGTCGACCATGAGATCCTCTTACAGAGACTAGAGGACTGGGTTGGCGTCGCTGGCACCGCCCTAAGTTGGTTTAGGTCTTACCTTGAAGACAGGAAGTACTTTGTGGAGATTGGAAACTGTGTCTCAGATCATATGGCCCTGACCTGTGGAGTCCCACAGGGGTCGATCCTGGGACCTCTTCTGTTCAATCTCTACATGCTGCCGTTAGGTCAGTTAATACGCAGAAACAAAGTGTCCTATCACAACTATGCAGACGACACTCAGATCTATGTCTCACTGACTGCAGGAGAACATGGACCAGTGGACTCACTCCTTCACTGTATCCAACAGATCAGTGAGTGGATGCAAAACAACTTCCTTCAGCTAAACGCAGACAAAACTGAAATGATTGTCTTTGGTCCCCAGAAACAAAGAGAGAGCGTCATCTGTCACCTCCAGTCTCTCTCCCTAAAACCTTCAAACAAGGTCAGAAATCTAGGGGTAATACTGGACTCAGACTTAAATTTTAATAGCCACATCAAATCAGTAACATCAGCAGCTTTTTACCATCTAAAAAACATTGCCAGGATCAAAAACATAGTGTCTAAAGCAGACCTGGAGATTCTTATCCATGCATTTGTCTCCAGTAGGTTAGACTACTGCAATGGCCTGCTCACAGGTCTGTCCAAACAGGCTGTAAAACAGCTGCAGTACATTCAAAATGCAGCAGCTCGAGTCCTGACTAGAACCAGGAAGTACGACCACATTAGTCCAGTCCTCAGGTCCCTGCACTGGCTTCCTGTGGCTCAGAGAATAGACTTTAAAACAGCTCTGCTTGTGTACAAATCTCTCCATGGCCTCGCACCAAAATATATTAGTGACATGTTAGTCCCATATGAACCAGCCCGGACTCTGAGGAGCACAGGGACTGGACTCCTGTTAGTGCCCAGAGTCAGAACTAAACATGGGGAGGCTGCTTTTCAGATTCATGCTGCTAAAATCTGGAACAATCTTCCTGAAGATGTGAGACAGGCCTCCTCTCTGACAATGTTTAAAGCCAAGTTAAAAACGGTTCTGTTTAGCTGTGCATACAACTGAGGGATTTTATATTTTTATCTTTCGTTTTAATGTTCTGTGATTATTTATGATTTTAATGCTATCTTGTTCAGCACTTTGAGTTGCCTTGTGTATGAATTGTGCTATACAAATAAACTTGCCTTGCCTTGCCTTGCCTTGCCATGGAGAAAAGAGGACTGTCAGTGAGGAATTTATTTTTAAATCAACTCGATTTGGAAACAAACTTAAAATCTTCCCTCCACATGCCTCAAAATTTCAGTATAAAAAATAAAGTCGTTCAGCTTGCATAATATTGGAAACCTGAAATTGTATATTACTTCCTGTTTGGATATGAGCATTTACATTCAATGTAATAAGAGATATGTTTTATGTTTGTTTTCTGTCTGACTTTTTAATTATTAATCACCTGTCAATACTGTGACATTGAAGCAATAAAAATAATTTTGTTTAAAATAACTGACCTAAAACAAGTGCGAAAAGAGTATTATAAACATGTTATTATATATTATGTAAGATTTCCATTTAAGCATAAGGTCCCACAAAGTAAACAAGGGCCAAAGAAATGTAGACAATACACACTGTCAGGAAAGATGAGGAAACCCCTATATTTTTATAAAAGTAATATTTAAACTGTCAGAAGTGTGTATGTGTGTGTGAGTGTGTGAGTGTGTTTAAAATGTGTATGAATAAAAAAAATATTTACAGTACTGCTGATTTTTAATACTGAATTAGAGCTTTTGAAATGTTGAGTTATGATCAGAAACGTGTGCTAAACAAAGTGAAAAAAGCTGCTGCAGACTTTGTCCACTGGGTGTCACTGTTCCTCACCTCGGTTCTCGCAGGCTCCGATCAGGTTGATGATGTTGGGGTGTTGGCCCAGTTTGCACAGAACCTCCAGCTCCCCGGCAAAGTCTCTGTGGTCGTTCTCTGTGGCGTATTCTGAAGAGGGCAGCAAACCAAAACATTACAGCCTCTCAGCAGAGTCTCAGCAGAGTCTCAGCAGAGTCTCAGCAGAGGCATGTCTCAAAGCATTCTACCCTCCACCAAATTGTGTGCAGATCAACAGGGCTGGACCATATTTACACAAGAAATAATAAATGTCGGTGGTATTATTATTTGACCAATACAATTAATTGTTATTTTTTTGCTCACTGTAATTGCTAACCACAGATTCTAAAGCAATCTGCAAAAAACAATTGTATGATATATTTTATGATATATTTGTATTATCGCCCGATTTTAAACTCTATTTGGTTAAAAAAAATATATATATACATATAAATATAAACATATAAAATAGTAGACAAATAGCTAGAAAAATGGCAATGTGACAGTTTATTTTGGCAAAATTGTAACTTTACATACCTCAGAATGAAGTTTATTTATACTATTTTCACTTTTATACTATACACGTTTTTTAAAATCATTATTGATAAAGTGAACATAAGCTACACATACCTTTAAGCATCTTTATGGCCGCACTCATCTTGCTGCCGTCTTTCTTGATCATTGCTTTGATGACCTAGGTATGAAATGTTAGTCAGTGGTGTAGTAGTAGGGAGCAATATGTACACATTGCACATTATATAAAAAATAACAATTGTCCAACACATTTGGTTGGAGCGCCTTTAGGTTTACATTTACTGTGACGTTTTATTGTCCATTATTTCAAAGATGTATTTACATTTGTGTGATGTAGATGGGAGACTGTAAATACTAAATCGTGGGGAATATACCAGTGGGGGTGGGTCCTGGCTCAAAAAGGTCCATGAGCACCTGCGCTGACAGGCTTGCGATCTCACTCCTAGCCGGTGGGGGTGTACCCAGAAAGAGAATTATTCAATGCTTTTGTATGGCGTCTTCTTTCCTCTTGAAAACGTCTTTACAGAATTGTCCAAAAGTCAGCTCTTGGCTTAAAGCTACATTCCAAATGCTGTCAATGCTGAGGGGAGTATGTTTTTGTGCCAGTCTAGTTTAGCTGCTGTGGACTTTTGAATGCACTTGTTAAATGAATGGGACTCATGCGTGAATAGGTCCGGTAATATTTATAATCTATGGTATATACACATAAACATATACAGTATGTTGTATGATAAGGCCTACGATAATAACGTTACCTGGCCAAAGTTTCCCTCTCCAATAACATCTTCAAACTTGATGTCCTCCCACTCCAGGATGGGGTAGGTCAGGGGCTCCGGTGTCGGCTTCGGTCTGCGCGTAAGTGTCAGAGTTCCGGAGTTAAACTGCAGAATGGTCTCCTCTCCCTAGGAAAAACACACACAATTATTAAGAAGAAATTGGGAGAGCTTCACTTGACAAACTGGTCAGGTGCTTGTTATACAGTAGGTGGTGTGTGATTCGTTCATTCAAAATAGAAGTCAATGTTGTGATGGAAAAAATGGAAAGCACTCCAAAGCACTGTGGCATTAAAACATGTTTATAATTTCCCATTCCATTGACTATATATAGGTATGGACAATACAAGCTCTATGAAGCCTAACTGGGAAGTGCTAATGGACGAAGTCTTGCTCCTACTCACTCCATTCAATGAATGCACTTACCCTGAAAAAAATGGCATCACACTCACCATTATGGTTATATTTTGATAATAAAAACATAATGGTGTACTATGAGTGGACTGACCAAGTGCTGAGTGCCAGTCTTTCCCTAGCTACTTTCTAGCTACAGCTGAATTCTGTGACAAGGATGCTCAATGGTCAGTTGATAGGCCACATATCTGGATTTACAAAGACAATATCATTATTGTATAAACAACAGGATCAAATAGAGAGCGCTACACCATGGAATTTTAAAGCCCAAAATGGTTTAGCTTCATTGAGCGAGAGGGTTAGCGATGTCTGACTATATACAGTCTATGGTGGTAGGTTGTCTCGGTTGCTATTACCCACACATTGGTTCCACATTTTAGCCCATGTAGCCCGTTGGAGTAACCCCTGATAGTCCACCCTTTCTACAATGCCTATGTAAAAAAAGTATTTTCAAAAAACCTTGGAATTCTTTGCCTTTTTCCATTGACTACTATAGCATTTCTTACTGATCCGGACTGGTAGGTGAAGGTGCGTCGTCGGTTGACCAGAGTTTTGCGGATGAAGAACAGAGCCAGCAGCACCAGCAGAATGGTCACAAAGGTCACTGTCACTGAGCCAACAATGGCCACCAGCAGTTGGTACCTGTCCCCCAGAGGCTTCCCTGCCACCCCCTGCGTGGTCGGGGTCAGGCTCTCAACACCTGCGCAAAGAATGGAAAAGTGCTAAAAATATTATTCTGAGGTCTGCAAACAGCACACTATTTGTATGTTTTCATTACATCAGCAATGGATGGGAAAACAACCTCAGGATCACAATGACCGTTTCAACCGTCTCTACTGTAATTACTGTAGGCCTTGCATTATTATTCAGTAAAAACACATAGATCAAAAACACTTCTTTTGTCATCCTTTCTTTTAATTTTAAAGGAAATGTATTGACCTACGGATGAAGCGGAAGAAAATGGATGGATGGATTTATTTGTTAAACCTTGTGGCAATAAAATACATGAAATAGTTAGATTTCACTTCAGTCCAACAACCCTGGATCTGCCCCGTGAATGACAAGGAATGGCAAGGAATTTGGATGCAGTCATGTGTGATTACTGATTGGTAAACATGGTTTTCTCAACAGAGTGGCATGTTTGAAGAGCTCTCACCATCCCCTTGAGTCATGGCTTGGACAATCTTGCTCCACTCTCCTGGCAGTTTGGAGAAAGCCCTGACTCTGAACTGGTAAAGTGTGCTGCCGTTAAGTGCAGTCACGTCTTTGATGGTCTTGTTCCCGTCGTCAGTGTCCACCCAGGGGTGAGGGCTGCCCTGGCCCACCGGCTGGTACTCAATCACATACTTGATTATGCCTCCGTTAGGGTCCTCGGGGGGCTGCCACTTCACCTGCACGGCTGATACAGACAGCGCCAGTGCCTGGACATTTCGTGGAGACGAGGGACCTGTTTATAACAAACAGATTTGACAATTTCATAATTGTTAGCTCTAAACAAGCGATTCAGCTGAAGACATAATTTCATCCTAAGCAGTGTTGCTTTCAGTGACTGAAATATTATTTGTCATATTTTTTTGTCATAATTTAGTTGCAAAAAGAAAATTAATGTTCACTTGTTCATACACAAAGAAGGAAATTAGAAACATCCAAGTTTTACTTCCAGAGCCCAGACCAGAACATAAACATATTCTCTCAATTCATGCCAATGAACACATCTGAAAATATCCCATGAAGCAATAACAAACAATCACATTTAGAATACAAATACTTATTCTTTGACCTTATAGTGATGCTACGATAAACTTTGTTAAACAGTGCAGTCACGTGTAATGTCTTCCCCCTTTACGCCAACATCACATCTGTCCACCCACCTTTAAGAAACTGTTCCATTACTTATCCCACAAGAGAAAATGTCTCCCTGATTGGTCCAAGATTATTATTCATATTTATGTATGAATAAGTCTACTAAATAATATCAACTTCATACAATTATTCAAACCTGTTCCAAACGCACTTGAACTTGCATTACACCAACTCTCAGCCCACAGTGTCACATAGTGACTCACACAGGTCTTTCTTACAAGTAGGCACAAGACAACACATTTGTGCTAAACTGAAAAATGTGGCCTGCATATACCCAAGCTGGAGAGGCGGAAGTGGTGTGGCTTGGAGGGGGGTCCCTGGCTGCTGCAGTTGATGAGGCGGACCACCACACTGTAGTCCTGCTGGTACCGCAGGTTGTGAAACTTGGTGGAAAGCACGTTGAGCAGAGTCTCCTCCTCCTGTAGTTTGTCGCTGTAGGGGGGAGGGCCAAAGAGCTGCACTAAGAAGCCACTGGCAGATGCAGCGTTGATCCCAGTGTTTCCCGGGAGACGCCAGTGCACAGTGACGTTCCGACCCTCCACTGAGCTGGGGTCTATCTCAGGCTGAACCGTGGGCTCTAAGGACACACAAAGCATGGTCACTTACACTGCACTGTATGCCTGTTCTATAGGATGTGTTCATGTGACATCACAGTGTTCAAAGACTGTCAAAGGTAGCAGAAAACTATTTCCTAACTAAGGTAAGTGCAAGTCACAGCACGCTGGCTGAGTGGTCACCAGTGTTGGGTGTAACGCGTTACTTTAACCGTTACACTAACAAAAGTACTTTTTAACATGTCAATAAAGTGTTGTAACGCTGTTTCTTTTTCAATTCGCATAATAACATTAACACAAAAGTAACGAAAAAGTAAAGTAAAGGAGTTACTTTCTTTAAATTAAAGTTCTCCGGCTCAAAGAGGTCTCTCAAAGTGCTGACAATATTAAAAAAACAACCTGATGTTGGCCAGTAGAAAGGACTTTCAGACAGAAGAATGATATGGCGGGTTGAAGAATCTATGTACTGTATATGATCAGTGAAAACACCTACTCTCTAACTGAAATAGAACATGAAGCTGTTCTTCCTTGTTTTGATGTCAGTAAAATGAAACACGTACCTGGACAGTCAGTCTCCATGATGGCCTCGGGGCCCAGTGCCCCCTCCCCTCCCTCACCAGGCCGACTCAGCTGCACACGCACACGGTACGGTGTGGTGGGCTTCAGGTTCATCAGGTTGATCGGTTCTTTGTCACTGTACACTGTGCAGCGACAACAATGCAGACAATATTATAATCACTGTGATTTACAGTTTAGTTGTCACTGCACTTCAGCATGTCGTACTTTTCATGTATTTACATGATTGTTGGAGCATTGTATTATTCTACTATTATTGGAATCCTGTTGTAAAGGATTTTGTTATTCTGCTCCTTGGGGATTGAATAAAGTAATCTAATCTCAGTGCAGATCTGCCACAGGTGCTAATTGCACTAAAGCTATTGATTTATCCAGCTATTCAGCAAAAAAAAACCCTACATATTGTGGGATGAAGTATACTTGTGGTCGCAGTTCACTCCCTTATTGAAGTCATTTCTTTGATGAATTCCAAACTCAGCAACTTGTTCGTTATCACTTATGATGTTACACATAGTAGCTAACAACTTTACATATTAACTTTAACTTTGTATCAAGCTTGTAAATTCATCAAAGATAATGTGGACTGTTTTCATCATTATGTCTCACCGATGATGGAGGACCAGGAGACTCCGTTTTCCACTGGTTTGTACAAAAGCCTAATGGACACAATGGGACCATCTCCTCTGTATGAGTCGACAGGCATCACCAGCAGCTGCTTACTCCACTTTTTCAACAGTTTGGGAGCTGTTATAGCCACGGGAGGCTCTGAAAATATACCAGAAGTAAATGTGGAAAACTTCATTATTATTATTATTATTGCCTGTTATAATATGTTATAATATTAATCACCCTCAGACACTGACACTTTGTCCCGAATATCCCACAGCTACTAAAACTTGATTCAGTCAAAATAATAGTCCATAAACAGCCCAACTCTACTTCAATAAAAATACACATATTAGCCACATTACTGTATAGGAGCCAAAGGGTTAATGAACTAGAAAACGTTGCATCATATAATCTGGAAATTAAGGTAATAGAAAAAAACCTGAATTCAATCATTCTAAAATCAATTCAGTTCAATTGATTCTTGTATAGCCCTAAATCACAACAGTAGACTTTACACCGTTGAATTCGCCAACACAGATCAGAGAATCAAACAGTTCAAACACAAGAAATAAAATAGAAAACACACTGGTATTTGTCCATAAAGAGCAGATGACCATAAGAGTTGATACATTTCCATAAATGTTGCTGAATGTTGAGTGTTGTAATGACAGTTTTTAGAGTAATTAAATTAGAACCAGTCGCAGCAAATACACGGACGACTGGGCCTTTAATCAATGCAGAGACGGCCGTCTGACGCCATGCTGAGTTTGCAAAGGCCTCTGCTGGCTGCTCCTTTCACACCTAAGACAAAGGCCTTCCTGTGTCTTGCGCTAAAACAAAAGGTGATGTTTGCATGATAATCTCAGCCCATGTGACGTCACGGTTTTGGGGCCCTGCTGTGCGCCTCCTGAGTATATGTATTGGTACAGTAGCTGTGCCCCGGCAGAGCTCACGATGCAAGACTGTATGTCGGCTCTCCGCATATATATGTGTAAAATAAATGTGTTTACATCTTTGATTTAAGACAAATACCTTTCCAGCTTTTTCCTTTATTGGGGTATGAAATTCCATAATAATTTGGCGTTGCTGGCATGTCTTGGCCTGGGTTTTTTTTCGGCGGGGACGAGCGGGTGCGTTCGGCCGACCTGGAACAAAACCAGCCTCCGCTCTATTTGGAGACGAAAGGAGGGCGCGCTCGTCCGGCGCATGAAAAGAATCTTTGGCCACACAAGACCAAAAAGAACCTGATTTGTGGTGAGTTTTGTCTTTTCAAACATGTAAAGCCCAGGGCAGCGCTTAAGTGTACACGGGTATTTGATTTATTTACGTATTTTGGGGTATTTTGTTCATTGCCATTTGTGTAGGGTATGAGATTTAAGCTAGCGGCTGCGTGTAAGTATTGCTCTGTAAGCAACCCTGAACTCTTTGTGCCTTCAGCCGGGCCCGGTCCGTTTCAAGAATGCGCGCCCGTTAGGTGTATTGAACTAACGGGGGGGGAACGGATCGCTCCAGAGTGAGGAAGAGCAGGGAGAGACTAAGCGGGCTAGATCCATTTGTTCTTTAAGAGAAAATGGAGGGAAGTACACTAGAAAGGGATTCAGACGTCCCGTAACAATGGCAATGGAAAAACGGTTGCAAATTATGTGCTGCTCATTCGGATCTTCCGGAGGGAGGTTTTTTTTTATGTCCTTCAATCGATTACGCGTCTTGCGTGAAAATTAGAAGAAGGAAGGGAAATATTACTTGGTTTTAAGAATATCACGGCAAAAGACGTTAGAGAAAGAAATATGTAAAAACAATAGCTCCCCCGCTTTTCACCGAAGCGGAGAACACACAGGCGAACGCGTAAGGCGATCAGCCCCGAGAAATATTCCCCAAACTCCCCTACTAACAATAAGTGCGCACCCAAACAAGGCGTTGGGTTTTTAAAAAAATGAGCAGACTACTGTTGTCCCCTTTTTCCTCTCCCTGTCCAGGTCTGTCGGCGCTTTCCTCCGCGCCCTGCCCTCCGCCTCAAAGCCCCAGCACCAGCCCCACGCCCCAACCACGGCGGCGACTCACAGAGTCTCTCGCACCAGCTGATACCCCGCGAGAAGTGGGCCCAAACCCGGGAGCAGAAGAAGAAGCGGCGGAAGCAGATACACGCTCAGGAAACCGAAGCTCACGACTCACTCCGTGGACACATTATGTGAGACACCGACAACTGCTTTGGACAAACTGCTCCAAATCCCGTGACTGTTGCCCCACGGAGGCGGCAGCGTGAAACACCAAACGCACCCGCTGAAACCCCGTTGAAAGTTGCCCCCGCACCGCAAACAGAAGAAGCCATTGGGACCGGCACGTTTGGTTATTAACCAACCCTCATGGACCACAGGCTAACGTTATTTGAACGCTTTGGGCTACCTGGGCCTCCTGCGGACTTTGAGAAACTTAAGCCATAGGTGCCAGAGCCAGGACTACGGTGCTGCGGAGCGCGCAGGAACATGTGTCACGGACTGGCGGCAGCTTTTCCACAGCCCGGCGGAAAGACTGTGTGCTCGACATGTGTCGAAGGACTGTTACCGGAGGAGGCGTTAAAGGCAGAGGACCTCTCAAGCTCACACGGGGCCAGAGGACGGCAGAGGCGGGCGTGGAGGAAACACGAGCGACTGATCAAACCCGGGTTCACATTCGTCACCAAAGCGACCGCTCATGTCACGTAAGTTTGAACAAGAACAAATTGCAATTGGCACTTTTTAGAGATAATTCATGCTGAATTCCCGTAATATACGCTAACAATCTGTGGTGTAAAAGTTAAAGTCTGGATGATTCAGGGACAACAAATCCTGTGTTAAAAACAAAACATAAGGTGACAGATTTTGGTCCTTTCTCAAATGAGTGGTCGCTTCACAAACCTCATGGCTTCAGTGTAGTGAAGATAGGCTAACGGAGTACGTTTATTGGGATAGGCACGACTCCGCGGTATTACCTAACGTGTTTATCGACCCACTGTGCTCCACTTTGCACACAGTTTTGTCCGAACCCACGTCTGCAGCGTGGAGGGAGGTCCCTGCATGTATTAATAAGTGTAGCAGTGCTGGAGGCTGGACACAGGTCCAAGATGGACACTCGTGGTTCTCCAGAAATGCAAACGCATGGAGAAGCCCTTTTTATTTTATTTTTTTTATGGTTCTCTGGCCGCAGGAAGAAATGTGTGTTCTGGCCCTGACAGCATCACTTCAGCCCCACGGGGGGCGGGGGTCATGCTGCCAGCGCCGTATGCAGCGACCACGCCGGGGCTGCACACGGTCCCACTGAAGGATTTTGAATAGGCCTGATAAAATTGGAGTGGCTTTTTGGATTTTTGCCACTTGTTTGGGTTGAATGAAACCGTACATTAAGGAGTTACATGCTGGTTTGAATCTTGTGTTTTAGTGCCTTTGACTCTCCACCAAGTTTGCATAAAAGCAAAAAACAAAAACAAAGAGATAACCCCTAACAAACGGTGTGAAGGGTTACAATTTTATCCCAACGGAGATCTGTTTCATAATCTGATGGACAGATGCCAAAATGCATACCTAAATTCAACATGATCAGAGGGTTGAAACAATTTATTTTCTAAATTGGCTGGCCAAAGCTGATCTTCTAAACTGAATTAAACAAAGAATGAACAATCAACATGGTGAAATCAAAATGGGACTTATTTCTATCACACTCTTGTGGGGCAAAAAGCCAATCACAATAGTGCATGACGTTGGTCACTCAGGTCCTTATTGTTTTAATGCTTTTGAATTTACTTTTTACGTAGTTTTGAGGGTGTGGTTTTTGACCTTTTGATTTATTTATTTTTCCTTTTTGCACTGCGGTGGTGTCTTATTTTTCTCCACTAGTGGAACGGATGGGTGAAAGACGATCACGCTTTCAAAATAAGAGCGCTCAACAAATTCTGGGCTGAAAGATATGAAAAGATATGAAATTTGATGGCCTGAACAAACATTTTTTTTTTTTACAATGACTTTCTGACCTGACCTGACAACTTACTGCGCAAGCGTTTTTTGTTTGTGTTGATGTCATTGTGTGTCCCAGTTGATCGTTGTGTGTGTGTGTATATTTGATGTGCGTTTCTGGTCATTTATTTACAGGCATATGACCACAAACACGACCCGCAGCGGACACAGGATAACTGTGTCCGCTGGATAAATTCTGGATAGATTCTTGCTTTTCCTTTTTTTCAACAGGCTGGGCAGTGCATTTAATGACAACTAACCACTAACAAACTGACACATAACACACCATTGTTTCATTTGAATAACTTGAAACTAACGAACCGTTGCTGTTTCTTTTGGAGCAGGATTCCACAGGTACAGACCGGCTGCTGGAAGTGTGAGAACATACGAGTGTCGACAATTTTACAACCGAGTCTGTTATGTTGTGTGTTCTGATTTTTATATTGTTTGCCCAAACACCATTCAGCACAAGCTGGTCGCGGTCGCTGGGGCTCGTGAGCAGGCAGCGGGCGAATGCAGACAAGGCAGACAAGGCATACCTGCCTCTGCCCATATGCAGGCACTGGCTACTCCAGACGAGATGGAGCTGTGGGCGAAAAATGGCCTTGGTGGGTTGCTGGGTAAACCTCAAACCGGGTTTGCCACAGCATTTCTTCAGAGACTTTGTGCCTTCAGCACATGGCCGAGACCATGCCTGAAAAGGAGGGATGTGTAACTTAAATTACACACAATTGAGGTTCTGCCAAACCTTTGGCACAGAACCCGGGTAAGTTCCAAATTATTCCTTAGGCTGCCCATGCCCCGCCACATCGCACCATGCCAAGGTAAGAAATACTGTCTGTCTGGTTCTGGTGGATCTCTGGTCCAAATGGACTGAAGTATGTGCATGTAAACACGCCACGAGCAACGCGGTGGTGAAAGCTCTGCTCACAGAAATTGTGCCACGATGGGGTGTCCCGGAAAGGAAAAAAATAAAATAAAAAAATAATAATAATAATATATAATTTCTAGTGACAATGGCAGTCACTTTGTAGCAAAATTATTGAGGAAGTAGGTCACTTTCTGGGCATTGATATAAGGAAACATTGCGAGCGAGAGAATGGCACTCTGAGGTCAAAACCTAAACCCATTCGAAACCCTCTTTGCCAGACCGCCCAACTTGGGAACGGGACCCCGACCTAGAGATCTGCCATGCACCTTTTGTGTGATGACGACATGCTGTCCTACTGTAAAGAAATGAATGCACTACTGTAATCTATTTCTGCCTAGGTCAGGAGCGCCCTGCCACAGGCGGTGCAGGCGGCTCTGCACGAGATCGAGCCATACGACTGGGTCCTGGTGAAGGAGACAAGACGGAAACATGGATCCCATCCTCATCCTCCTGGTGACGGACACGGCCGCTAAAGATCGCAGAGAGGACAGCTTGGATCCACGCCAACCACTATCGTGCAGCGCTGCCACCGAGGGCCATAGACGAGGACACCGAGGGTCGGGACGGAGCAGGCATATTCACGGCTCCGTAAGCATAAGGGGCCGGCCGGCGTGAGAACTCCGTCACTGGAGCAGGCCCACAACAACAACAACACCCAGAGAATCCCAGCGTTCCCGAGGCGCATCCCCAGGAACAACACGACGTCCCATCTCCCTTGCCCCCGGACCCCAAGGTCACACCCCGAAGTGCCGAGGCCAAAGCCCCAACGCGATTAGGGTCTTGCCGCCCCAAGACCGAACATCGCCATGACCACTAACGCTTCACACACGCTCAGAGGGAGCGGTGCCCCTGAACGCTCGTGAGCATTTCCGCGGAAAAGACTACAGAACCCCCGCGTAGCAGGCTAATACCGGCATAGGCCCGTGGCATATTATGTTGGACACACTGTCCGCACTCTTATCGCTGTCCGGATCCATTGTGTTATTATAATGTGCTCTTTCTTTTATTGACAAACATGTTTCTTTTCTTGTCCACTTTGGACAGCAATAATTTAAGTGTTTCAAGCTTGAAGGTGATGTGATTACGATGCCTCTGGTATTTAACTGATTAATGCAAAAATGGTTTTGAATTATCAAAAGAGGGGAGTGTAATGACAGTTTTTAGAGTAATTAAATTAGAACCAGTCGCAGCAAATACACGGACGACTGGGCCTTTAATCAATGCAGAGACGGCCGTCTGACGCCATGCTGAGTTTGCAAAGGCCTCTGCTGGCTGCTCCTTTCACACCTAAGACAAAGGCCTTCCTGTGTCTTGCGCTAAAACAAAAGGTGATGTTTGCATGATAATCTCAGCCCATGTGACGTCACGGTTTTGGGGCCCTGCTGTGCGCCTCCTGAGTATATGTATTGATACAGTAGCTGTGCCCCGGCAGAGCTCACGATGCAAGACTGTCGTCTCTCCGCATATGTGTAAAATAAATGTGTTTACATCTTTGATTTAAGACAAATACCTTTCCAGCTTTTTCCTTTATTGGGGTATGAAATTCCATAACAGTGTCCTTCAGGTGTAAGTTCAGTAATAGGTTTAAATCAGGTGTCGTCAACCTTTTTCACCCAGAGAGCTACTTTCCCCGAGACAATTAAGGCAAGGCAAGTTTATTTGTATAGCACAATTCACACACAAGGCAACTCAAAGTGCTGAACAAAACAAGATAGCATTAAAATCATAAATAATCACAGAACATTAAAAAGAAAGATAAAAATATAAAATCCCTCAGTTGTATGCACAGCTGAACAGAACGGTTTTTAACCTGGTTTTAAACCTTCAGAATCAGAATCAGAATCAGAATCAGAATCATTTTTATTGCCACGTAAGTAACGGGAGGTCACAGACTTGGAAATTGCTTTGGCTCAGTGCAACAGTCAAAAAGAGATAATAAAAATAAGAATAAAAAACACTTCTAAAGAATAAATTTAAATTTAAAATAGAGTTACAGTTACTATTTACAATATACAAGTGCACATGGTGCACACAATGTAAGGTGACAGCAGTACAGTGAAGTAAAGTGACGTATGATGGGCAGTAAGTGACTTTATAAAGGGCGGGGGACAGGTTAAGAAGTGTTCAAGAGTCCAACAGCAGAGGGGAAGAAACTGTTCTTGTGGCGGGAGGTTCTAGTCCTGATGGACCGCAGCCTCCTGCCTGAGGGGAGTGGTTGGAATAGTCCATGTGCAGGGTGAGAGGGGTCGGCTGTGATACGACCAGCCCGGCCTCGAGCTCGGGCGACGTACAGGTCCTGCAGCGATGGAAGGCTGCGGCCGATCACTTCCTCTGCAGAGCGCACAATGCGCTGTAGTCTCTGTTTGTCCCTGACTGTGGCTCCAGCGAACCACACGGTGATGGAGGAGGTGAGGATGGACTCGATGATGGCCGTGTAGAACTGCACCAACATCTGTGCAGGCAGCTTGGCTTTCCTGAGCTGCCGCAGGAAGTACATCCTCTGCTGGGCCTTCTTGATGAGGGAGCTGATGGTCGGCTCCCACTTGAGGTCCTGGGTGATGGTGGTGCCCAGGAAACGGAAGGACTCCACAGAGGTGATGGGGGAGTCCATCACGGAGGGTGGGGGCGGGGGGACAGTGCTCTTCCTGAAGTCCACAATCATCTCCACTGTCTTCTGGGCGTTCAGCTCCAGGTTGTTACCACTGCACCAGGACACCAGCCGGTCCACCTCCCTCCTGTAGGCGGACTCATCGTTGTTGGAGATGAGTCCAATGAGGGTGGTGTCGTCCGCGAACTTGAGCAGCTTCACGGAGTCGTGGCTGGAGGTGCAGTGGTTGGTGTACAGGGAGAAGAGCAGGGGAGAAAGAACACAGCCCTGTGGGGCTCCTGTATTTATAATCCGAGAGTCCGAGACATTCTTCCCCAGACGCACTCGCTGCTTCCTGTCCGTCAGGAAGTCAGTGATCCACCTGCAGGTGGAATCGGGCACGTTGAGCTGGGAGAGCTTGTCCTGGAGCAGGGATGGCAGGATTGTGTTGAAGGCAGAGCTGAAGTCCACGAACAGGACCCTGGCGTAGGTCCCCGGGGAGTCCAGGTGCTGTAGGATGTGGTGGAGGGCCAGGTTAATGGCGTCGTCTACAGATCTGTTGGCTCTGTAGGCGAACTGCAGGGGGTCCAGGAGGGGGGAGGTGAGGGACTTGAGATGGGAGAGAACCAGGCGTTCAAATGACTTCATGACGACAGACGTAAGTGCTACAGGTCTGTAGTCATTGAGTCCTGTGATCCTGGGCTTCTTCGGGACGGGGACAATGATGGAGGATTTGAAGCAGGCCGGGACATGGCAGGACTGCAGAGAGGAGTTGAAAATGTCCGTGAACACAGGAGTAAGCTCACTGGCGCAGTGTCTCAGAGTGGCCGGAGACACGTGGTCCGGGCCAGGAGCTTTCCTCTCTTAACCTTGTCAGAGAGGAGGCCTGTCTCACATCTTCAGGAAGACTGTTCCAGATTTTAGCAGCATGAATCTAAAAAGCAGCCTCCCCATGTTTAGTCCTGAGACTGGGCACCAGCAGGAGTCCAGTCCCTGTGCTCCTCAGAGTCCGGGCCGGTTCATATGGGACTAACATGTCACTAATATATTTTGGTGCGAGGCTATGGAGAGACTTGTACACAAGCAGAGCTGTTTTAAAGTCTATTCTCTGAGCCACAGGAAGCCAGTGCAGAGACCTGAGGACCGGACTAATATGGTCGTACTTCCTGGTTCTTGTCAGGACTCGAGCTGCTGCATTTTGAATGTACTGCAGCTGTTTTACAGCCTGTTTGGACAGACCTGTGAGCAGGCCATTGCAGTAATTAAGGCAGAGAGCTACTCCTTTAAGCGGCCCTGGGAAAAGTGTGCTCATATATTGGTGTGAACAAGCCTGATATTGGGTACAGTCATAATTTATCATTGTTACTAGTGCCTAAAGTAAGTGCATTTACAATAATATGTACAATCTAAATATCATTTGTTTTGTTTATCTCCAAATCTTTTGGCGCGGTTGGAGACCACTGGTTTAAATGATCGCCCATGGATATAAGAGGATACACCCTCATTTTTTGTGATATTTTAACAATAGAAAGTGTACCTTTGATGGTGAGATTGAATTTGCGAGAGTCATGTCCTCCTTTTGTGGACACGCGGCACTCCCACTGCCCAGCCTGCTCTGCTTTCACATGGGGGATCTCAAACAAGGCTGTGCTCTTCTTTGAGTCCTGAGTGGTGTGATTAGCCTGAAAAACATCCCACCAATACATTTCAATTGAAGTAATGTGGTGTATTTCACAATCTGCTCTTTGAAAGGGCATACAGGTTTCCCATGGTTGTTCAATTAGCAAGGAAATAGCTAGAACCTGCCGACTGCAGACTGATACGCCTTATCTCCCCAGACCATTGTGTTTTGGACTTCCTCTGGGAATGAGTAAGTCTACAGGGATGTTTTTAAAAGTGCAAAAGCTATTGGATGTTTTGAAAGTTGTTTAAGGATTGTAAAAGATTGGCCTGTCTCTGCACAAAACCTTTGCCAGAAGTCGACATACCTTTATCACTGTGCTGTCGAGTTTGCGTAGCTCAAAGCTGTCGTGGATGGGCAGCGGGTTCCCTGTGGCTGTGCACGTCACTGTTGGACTCGAGTTCAGATTCCAGTCTAAGTTTGTGTTTAAGTCCAAGATTTGTGGAATTCGGTCTGAAAAGGAAAATGTTTGGTAGAAATATGCACTTTTACTATTTATCATATTCATTTTATTATATTATGCATGTTTTAATATATTTTCCCGCCATGCAAGACACCATATATGCACTACCGTTCAAAAGTTTGGGGTCACCCAAGTGTTTTCTATGAAAAGTCACACTTATTCACCACCATACGTTGTGAAATGAATAGAAAATAGAGTCAAGACATTGACAAGCTTAGAAAATATGATTTGTACTTGAAATAAGATTTGTTTTACATCCAACTTTGCTTTCGTCAAAGAATCCTCCATTTGCAGCAATTACAACATTGCACCAAAAACCAGACATTTGCAGCTAGAATAGTCATTTACCACATAAGCAATGTATAGAGTGTATTTCTTTACAGTTAAGACTAGTTTAAAGTTATCTACAGTGCTTTTCCTTCAAAAATAAGGACATTTCAATGTGACCCCAAACTTTTGAACGGTAGCGTATTTCACTAACAATGGGCCCCAGCGATAATAGGAATAAGCCCCTGTATACTGACAACGGAACAAATAACCACAAAGATTATTTATCATTATCCTGAATAGAAGAGCTGTAGATTTATAAATACATTCTTGGTGGACTACAGGCATTCCTTGATTGATTAGGGAAATCCAGGAACGTATTAAATTACAAATGTTATACATCTGACCACAACTTGCTTCAATTATACACACCTCACAAAAAATACAAACAATATATAAATGGATTCATAAAAAACAGCCATGATGCATATTCACTGTTATTTGTAATTTTTGAATTTTGCTATTTGAACATCTGTCATTAAATTATGTAAATAAAATACAAAATAGACCCATTACACATGAATTGAGAGCTCTATTTGGCTAGATTAGAAAAGTGAATAACACAGTCTTCAGCCGATGCATGCAGTTTTCCCATATCTTTATAAATTCTCAAGAATAAAATATTCAATGAATTTTCTCGACTACGACAACATCAACCTATAACCGACTAAACAACAAAAGACCTCCAGCTCTACTGAACTCACTCACCTGATTTGTCACAGTGCTCCCCCCTCCAGCCTAACGGACACTGGCATCCCCCAAAGCGATGACAGACGCCTCCGTTCTGACAGGCGCACTGCAGCTTACAGTCCGGTCCGTACATATCCGTGTGGCACGCTGACATAGACACCACATTTCACTTCACAGATTTCACCTCTGCCTTTGGGGACTGACCGAAAGAATCTTACCCTGTTCACAGTGTTTGCCGAACCAGCCGCTGCCACAGGAGCAGCCGTACGGGTCGGGCAGGCAGAAGCGAAGGCCCTTACAGTTGTGGTCTGAGCCGCAGGACTCCTGGCAGTTTTGACCGAACATTCCTTCTCTGCAGGCTGGGATTAAACACACAAAGACAGACGTATGCATTTGTTTGTTTCAGTGATTTTTCATGCTTCCAAATGCCACAGAAATATTACACACAGTCAAAGTATCCCTATATTTAAAATAAGTTGTGTCTGTCTATTTGTGCCACTTTGAAAAGCAACAAAAACTAATGGAATCACAAATAAAAAAGAAGAAAAACAAAAAACACATCTGACTGTGAATAGAATCTGAGTTGTTCCTGAACTTCCCACAGGCACTGCTCTAGATTATTTAATTTGAAACAGGTTACAGTAGTTTATTGCATCCTAATACAATTTTACAAATCCAGAGCAGAAACTATTCCAGGGGCTGGCCATAGCAGCACATATCGTCTACTCTCCTCTACTTTATACCTATGATTAAAATAATGTATCAAACCTATTTCACAGTGCATTCCCATGAATCCTGGAGGGCAAATACAGTCTCCATCCGCATCGTGACACACTCCACCGTTCAGGCACTCCGGACACTGCCTGTCGCAGTATGAGCCCCACTTGTCTCTGGGGCAGTCTGAAACATTTATGTTATGTTTAGTTTACTAGTTTTATTTGATCATTAGTCAACAAAAACAATCAACGTTCACTGTACTGAGCTTGTGTCAATGTGTCAATTGACATTCAGCTTCTTTCAATATATAAGCAATACAAAACACATTCAATGCCGGAGAACCTACTTTTTTGTTTGTTTCATGTTTAAGAAACATTTTGTGAACAAATCTGCCCACAGCAATATATATTGAGAGCTGATTGGCTGAAGGACAGATAGTCCTGTCTGCAAAAGCTGAAGTACAGATGTGACGAAGATCAAAATTAATTCTATTCAATTCAATTCAATTTATTCTTGTACAGCCCTAAATCAGTAAACAGTAGTTATCTCAGAGCACTTAACAAATCAGTTGAAATCGCCAACACAGATCAGAGAATCGAACAGTCCAAACACAAAAGATATGGAAAACACAGGTATTGGTCCATAGGGAGTTTGACCAATGCCAATCTCCAGGACCTAAGCTACAGAACCAGGACCAATGCCAGGCAGCGAAAAGGACAGGTGAAAACTAGGACCGGTAATAGGACCAAACTGTATTGAGAGCAAAGAACTAGTTGCAAAGATTTTACTACAAAGTTAATGTTTGTATATGTGTCAAAGTAAGGTCTCCAGCTTTACATAAATAATGACGCCTTACTGACCTCTGACGATGAGCCTCATCCACGCTCCATTCACTGGACTGTCTCCCACGAAGCTGGCGCTGTAGATTCCTTGATTAGAAAAAGTAGCATTTTCCACGGTGAGGACAGCTGTGCTATTGACCACCTCGTTTGAGTGAGTCATGTAGTAGTAGTTTCCTGACAAATACAAACATAAAATGCAAGTTATCGAATGTTGCCAATTTAAGTAAATGTCTAAAAAGTGCTGGTTACCGTTGTACTTCCACATCACATCTCTCTTCTGTGGACTTAGCAGCTGCATGCTAATGTTGGCTGTTTCTCCTCTATTTATTGTCAAAGTGAGTTGGGCCGGGTGGAAACTGGCTGTGATGACCAAAGAGAAAGAAAAAGGCAAAACAAACTCAGTCAAACTACAATTTTCAACCACAAACCCAGTGATTACAAACTCACTTTTCAGATACGAGTTTATATAATTATTTCCACCAAGATGTAATTCATATCTTTAGCATATAGTGTTTGTTATTTGTATAGATTCAACTTTCTTCACTTTCCATTTAATCTCCCCCATAGTGTATTTCATCATGCTTTAGAAAACCAAGGACTTCAGACTATTGTATGTTCAGTGACATGATAAATCAATGTTATCGTGATGTGAACTCTGCGCCTGCTTTTTACCAAAGCCATTAAAATAAAGGCTCATAATCCATCTTCATGGTTCTGATATTGTGGCTTTCTAAAAGCCTACCACCACCATTTCCTGTTATGACAGTTATCGTCCCATCTCTCCCAGCCTTTCATTTTTTTCTGAAAATGGATTTAATGATGGTCAGATACACTGCAAAAACAAAAAATTAAAATAAGCAAATTGTTTGTGTGACGTTTGAACTATTTATTTTGATTCTAGTACAGTATAAAGCTCTCACAGAAAGATTTGACAAAAGTAGTGTTCACCAGGGTCTGTCAGCCATGTGCAGAGCGTGTTGTCTTTTATCGTTTCAACTGCAATGGCATTCTTTTGTTTTTCAATTAAAACAAGACATTTTATGCTTGTGTTCTAAATATACAGTGCTACTTCACTAGAATACGTGTTTAATTTTGCATGTTTTTTACAGAGTGCCTCTCTTGCACCACAAGTATACTCGAACAACATTACATGCATTGTTATATAATGCTAGTATATGACATTGTTTATAAACTACTGTGGCTTCTGTGCACCGCTGTGATTAGTTCAGAGGACTATGTTTAGAATTTTAGCAGGTGTTTTACAGCCTTGAATGATAAAGCTGCTAATTTGCATATTTTGCTTAATGCAGATTATTTTTAAGGACGTGACCCCTGGGATAAGCGACGGACCACTGAACTCAATGAACATTTTTAACTGACTATGTTCAAATCCAGGTTAAAAAAAGTACTGTTTAGCAGTGCGTACAACAGAGGGATTTCTTTTTAATGTACTGTGATTATTTAGGACTTTTATCTTGTTTTTTCAGCACTTTGAGTGGCCTTGTGTATGAATTGTGCCATACAAATAAACTTGCCTTGCCTTGTCTTTCCTACTATCTGCTCTGTAGGGTGCACACTGAGGTATTCTTGCACAGCTATTCCAATGTGGTGTTATTGCAAATGGCCAATAAACAGAACCTGAATCTGACACGTATGACTTGTGTCTTTCTCCCACACTGACCGCTGTTGAAGTTGCTGATCATGGTGACTTTCTCAGGCGGCGTTCCCTGGTGAGTGGCTTCACAGTAGAAAATGCCAATATTCTCCAGCTCCTTGAAGTCGCGGGCCACCACCTCTTTGTGCCGAGGCTTCACCACCATAAAGTTCCGGTGCGGAAATTTGAAGATGTGGTTGTCCCTGCGGATGTCCAGGTTGCTGTGCACGAGGCTGCGTTCTCCGTTCACACAGGACATGGAGAAGTGGCTGATGCCCGGAACCTCTGCTGTGGAGGTCATGGTCAGGTCCAGGACGGCATCTGTGGGGCGGGCACGGTGAGAGTGAGGAGTTATCAACAGCTGTATTTATGATTGAATGATTTATACATAAAGATACCCTTAGCTCACAAACATGCAGTGAATGACGTTACTTGCAGAGAATGTTTTAGTTTAGTGCTGTCATGATAATTAATATACCAACGTGCTTATTTTGTTGGTATAAGGAAGTTTCTACATTATAATTTATTGCTACTGCATTTCACTTTCCAAAATATTGAGGTGACCATGTGCAACTGGAAAACTGAAACAGTGAATGTGTGTATTTTCTGTTGTTTTCCTGTTGTTATTATGATGATGATGATTATTAGCAGCAGAAGTAGTAGTAGTAGTGGTGGTAGCAGTAGTAGTTGTAGTAGCAGCAGTAGTAGTAGTAGTAGCAATAGTAGTGTCATTATACATGTTGTTGTAGTAGGAGTAGTCGTAGCAGTTGTAGCAGTATAATTATACATGCTGTTCTCGCAGTAGTAGTAGCAGTAGTAGTAGTAACAGTAGTAGCAGTAGTAGTAGTAGTAGCAGCAGCAGTAGCAGTACAAGTAGTAAAAGTATCATCATACAAGTTTAAAAAACACATTTAAAACAGAACTAAGCAATTTCAAAATAACTCTGTCATGGTGGATTTATAGAGAAAGTCAATTGAGTGCAACAACATAGTTACTCTTAAAGGTAAACAGGAGGATTTTCTACTTCGGGGTGGATCATCAAGACTATTGGTCCTCCCAATTGTCAATCATTCTGGTGATATGTGCTCCTCAAAAAAGACCAGAGAGTTTTGTTCAAAAGGTGGAGAGGGCGGTTCTTTCCTAAAGTTTGGGAAAATCCTCCTATCTACCTTTAATTGACTCACTAATCTTAGAGTGATGATTGTATGACGTTTTGGAGATATCTCTGGAAAGGTGTCTATGCATTTGTTGTATTTGGCAACAACATTTGTCTTCACCCCGCCCCTTTTCAAACTATGTCCGTGTCTGTTATGTTGATGTATGCAGAAATGTGATGTGCAGCTTTGAAATAACACAATACGACATCTATGATATTGTGCATATGTCGAAAGAAACCATCAATCCTCATATCAAACTCCAAATGTGACATTAAACTTGGCAATACTCTATAGGCCTTATACCGGTGCTGCTGCAGGTGGACTGGACCCCCGCCACCCTCAATAAACACATCAGAGCCGTCCTTGAGCAATGCTTTCGTCTCATTTTATGACTTGATGTGAAGTTGGACATGCTTGCCTAATGCATTTTTCATTCCCCATGTCGTGTCCATATATCAACTATTTGGCACATGTGTCCAAATGTCAATGAAGTTACTCAAGACCCTTAAGCGTGATAGATTTTTTCCTTAGGATGCTTTGTCAAACCGTAGAAAAGCTGAGCACACAAAAAACTATCGTGAGTGGGTTGGGTCTGCCCTGTCCTGTTATTTCGCCTGGGATGCGCAAGGACAATGGCAGGAAACGTGGATGCGCTCCTGCTCCCAAAAGGCCACACAGGTCGCCAGACTTTAATATGACTTCAACACAAGCTCAACAATATAGGTCTACACATACATGGGTGAAATATAACTATGAATAAATACAATTAATAAAAGGTGTCCACAGGCTTCTGCGAGACTGAGTCCTCTGGCTTGCTTTAGTGGACATTTTATTTATAATATTCCACAGTATATGGCACAACATGATATAGTCTGAGCTTACTGTCTCCCTAGGGAGAAATGTGTCTTGGGACCTGGGTTCACATGCTTTACACCACACACATTTGCATACATCACAATAGACATTAAACTTTAAACATAAAACTATACAGGTGACATACCGGGGACATCATACCTCCAAAACGTACCACAATGTTGCCTTAAAATAACCTACATTCAGTGTTGGGTAGAATACTTTGAAAATGTATTCCATTCCAGAATACTGAATACATGACCTAAAATGTATTTGTAAAGTATTCTGTTGCTTTCGAAAATGTAGTACCTGTATCCCTGAATACATAATACTTTTATTTTTACTTTTGTATTATTTATACTTTTTGTAAATTACATTTTATTTACACAATGTATAAAGGTAAATTTCAAAATATCTAAAACCATAACCTCAATAAATGTAATTAAATATATAATGTAGAAAGTATGTGAAGTGTAGAACGTATGTATTGCCGTGATTTTCTGAAAGTAACTGTATTCTAAATACTAGACTTAAAAGTAGTAACTGTAATGGAATGAAAGAGTATTCTGAATACATAATGGGATTACATGTATTCTGTTACTCCCTAACACTGTCTAAATATGAATAGTTAATTTACAAAAATTACTTATTATTACTAGATCTGCGGCTAAACTGGCTAAACACTGAATCTCGAATAGTGCCTATGATAGCAAGTCCTTTCAAATGCACAGCCAACAAACAGATATATCTATGTTTTTGCAAATTTACTTGTCATGTGTTTTACCTGACAACTTCACAAAGCACAGCAAACTCAGCCACAGCATCCTCGCGATTCCAAAAACACTGATAATCCAGAATTAACAAGGTCCCAGCGACGGGAGCGCAGCTTTTTGGTGCATAACTTTACTCCCTTGAAGTCCGATCGCAGTTGGTTTATTTGTTTGTTAGTTGAAAAGTGCAGTGTTATTATCAGGCTGGTGGCTGTTCTCTTGAGCGTACAGCGTGAATTGACGGCGCGATGTGACTGATGGTAAAGTTTGGCGCAGTGGGTGGAAAGGAAGGAAGAGCGTCTGTTTGGAGCAGACCGCTGGCTCCCCGCACCTCCTTCAACAAATCACAGCTACAGAACTGGGGTGCGTCGAGATTCAACTCTGGCCACTTGTGTACGCATCTTCTCTTTTAACACGTGTGCCGAGAATTTATTTCAATTCGTGTTGTTGAAAATGTCAGTGAAAAATAAGGCGGGGCAGTGGCGGAGTAACCAAACTGAGGGACC